CTTTGAACTAACAACTTCATCATTTGTCACTTGAAGACAGTTTTACACCTCAGAAAGTTTCCATTCAGACCATTACTGTTAATGTTGTTCCAGCAGGTAGAAAATAGCTCTATAACAAAAAGTTATATTAATATGTTCCATGTTTCATCTGTTCTCTTCAGATTTCAGTAGAACTTCCCCTCAGTGTTTTAACCCAGTTCGAGGCTGTTTCCCAGCCTCTCCTCCATCATCAGTTATCTACAGAAACCCAGGAAATGTTCAGAAAGAATCTCTACTTACTGAGCAGAAATCTGACAGATGTTTCCTTCATTGTGTCTCTCAGAGCTCTGGTAGAGATGTTCAGAGGCTGAGAGTAAAACCTTCCTCTTCGTCTGTGGTTGAGGGGCTGCAGGAACATGAAGTAGCCGACGATGTAAAGACACGTATCTCCACCACCAATTGGGCCCTGGCTGTGGGTTAGCAGCATCACATCACTTCCTGTTTGGCTCTAGGTTATTTATTCTGAACACGTTTCAAACACATGCTCAGTTGTTCATTTAGAAACCCCTTTATCCCACGTTTCTCATTCACTCCAGAAAATGTCTAAAACAAAACATCAGGACTTCGGTTCTTGTTCTTTATCCAAAGATCTTCCTCATCTCAAAGCTAATGATGGAGGTTATGCTTTGGTGGAGCAGCGGTTAGCGCATATGAGCCCGGTATGGAGGCCTTAGTCTTCGAAGGGGCTGACCCGGGTTTGAATCCAGCCTGTGGTCTGTTGCTGCATGTCTCTCCCCCTCTCTTATACCTGCTTCCCTGTCAGTGAACAGTCCAAAAAAAATGAGCCACAAGTGCTGACTAATGGTCAGCCTCAAAACAATTCAGGTGAACTGTGCTTAATTTCAAGAGGGGGAAGTAGTGCTTGTCAAGTGATTCAGTAACTGCACCCCACACTTGAAAGGGCTGGACACATGACTTTAAGAGTATAGCCAGATTTACTCAGACAGAGCAGCTGAGACTTTTTCCATTCTTTTTATTTGCCCATTTTGTGGTCAGTCTTAACATTAGTCAGGTGAAAACCTTAGGACAGTAAGACAGTTAGGATTGTTGTTGAACATATAATATTCAGCATACACAAAATATAAATTAAATCAAAATACTTTAATCAATCTGATCTTCATATACACATAACAGTTTTACAAAATGTACCACAATATTGCACCTTGCCTAGACATTTAACCTTAAATACCTTACAGCACAACCCGATAAAGCACAACATGGATACACATTATTGTGTCTTATTATTGGACTTCTGTGCAAGTCACGGATTGTCCATAATGAACACCATGTTCAGGCATAAGGATGTCCATCGGTGCACCTGGCACCAGGGCACCCTGGGCCGAAGGTCGACAGTCGACTTTGTAGTCATTCTTCTGATCTTCGGCTACATGTCTTGGACACTCGGGTGAAGAGAGGGGCAGAGGTGTCCACCGACCACCACCTGTTGGTGAGTTGGATATGCTGGAAGAGCCAGTGGTGGACACCGACTGTAAGGGATGCTGTCAAGCTTAAGAAGGAGTCCTATCGAGCTTGGCTGGCTTGTGGGACTCCTGAAGCAGCAAGCCGGTACCGTGAGGCCAAGCGTGTCACGGCACTGGCGGTTGCAAAGGCAAAATCTCGGGCCTGGGAGGGGTTCGGAGAGGCCATGGGAAAAGACTATCGGTTGGCCTCAAAGCGATTCTGGCAAACCGTCCGGCCCCTCCGGAGGGGATAGCAGTGCTTCACTAACACTGTTTTCAGTGAGAACGGGGAGCTGCTGACCTTGAAGGAGGACATTGTCGGAAGGAATACTTTCTCTCCTCAACCCGACAGACACGCCTTCCGTAGAGTGGTCGCGCCTGTGGCCGGGGTTCATGTGTGTCTGTTATGGGCTGGGTGCGGGCTTCGGGGGTGTGGCTTCCCTTTGTTGGTGCGGGTGCCGGTGGTGCCCAGTGTGGTGGATTGTGCGTGGGGGCGGTTTGGGAGTGGGGGGCTGCCTGGTGTTTGGTGGTGGGGGGGCGGGCTGCAGCCGGCACGGCAGTTCTCCTCTCGGCGGCCCATGGGCGGGGTGGGTCGTGCTGCTTTCGCGCCGGGCACGGTGGGAGCGGCAGGGTCGCGTCTGTTGCTTTCTTTTTGCTGCTTGTGCCGGCTTCTGGCGCACGGCTGGGGCGGCTTTGCTGCTCTGTCCTTTGTTTTGCCTTGCGGCTCGGTTTGCTGTGGTTGGTGGAAGTGGAGTGGTTTCGCTGTGTTTTTGGGTTGGGGGGAATCCGCCTTGGGGCTTGCTTGGTGCCGTTGGTCTGTCCATATCAGCCTTCCGGTGTTGTTTCTGTCAGGGCCACTCGGGCCCCCGCGTGCCGGCGGTGCGCTGTCGGTGGGGTTCCCTCGGTCGGTGTCCGGGCGGGCTTGTTTATCTCCTGGGAGGGATTTTTCTGGGGAGGAGCATCTGGGTGGAGGGGTCCTCACGATGTGGCGATGGGTGTTGGACACTGACTTGTGTTGGCCGTTCTTCTTCAATGAGGGGGATCTTTTTTGTGTGGGAGGGGGGGTGTGAGCGGGGGAATCAGAGCTTGGAACGGGACTCAATATTTGTGCTTTGCTGTGTTGTGTGGCTTTCTTCTTCTTCAGATTGGTGTTGTAGGACCGGTGTCGGGGGGGAGTCATTTGGGGGCTGGTGTTGGGGTGGAGGTGTTGGTGCCGGTGCCAGGGGTTTTGGGGCATTGCCCGTCCCTCCTGCTGGGTCCGGGGTGGGTCAGGGGGTCTGGGATCCCTGGGGTGCGTTGCCCTCGGGCTGGGGCCCCGGTGGGGTTTCGGGGTTTGGGTTCTGTGGGGGTTACTGCTTGGGGTGTGGGCCTGTGTACGCCCGGCTGTCCGCCCCTGCTGCCGCAGCCTCTGGTGTGCCAGGGTGCCTCGGGGCCTGTTGGGCTGGGGGGGCATAGACATTAACACCTATGGCAGACGCTTACCCCTTCAGGGGTTTGCACTCTGTAAGTGGGGGAATGGGAGGGAGGGGGAGTAGGAATAATCTCGGCCTGGATGTCTTTTGTCGCTTGTGTGGTGAGTAGTTTGAATGTTATTGTTGCGGAGGGATTAGATCTCCGGGAGGGGGTTGATGGAGGGAAGAGGATTTCAGAAGGGCTTCGGGTCTGGCTCCCTGTCTCGGTCCTGGTCCGTGCTGTCCCCTGGTGGGGCTTCATCCGGGGTGGGGGCTCTGCATGTTGCGCGTGGGCTGGCCGGCCGGGGTTGTCCCCCCCCCTTATTTATTTATTTATTTATTTATTTATTTATTTATTTATTTATTTATTTATTTATTTATTTATTATTATTTTTTTCTTTATATTTTTATTATTATTATCATTAATTCTTTATTTTTTTATATTTTTTTTGTGGATGGACAGGATGGGGGGAGGGTGGTGGTGTCGGCCCTGTGCCCGGCTGGCTGGTGGGTCCTGCTGCTGGTCCCTGGCCCCCAGGCTACGGTGGTGAGACTGGTGGGAGCCCCCTCTCCGGAGGGGCTCTCAGGGAACGGGGATGCCTATTGGAGTCAGCAAGGGAGCTGGCTCCCTGGGAGTGCAGTAAGCACCCCAGTCCTTTGCTCCCCATCCCTGTAACCCTCCCTCTGCCTGCTCCATCACACTGCCACACATGTAGGTTTTTGGGGAGGGGGTCGTTACTGGAGGGCCCCACCTTCTGATGATGTCCCCCACCCCAATTTTATTCTGCATTTTAGACACTTCCATCTACATCCTTTTCACAACACACATCTATGTAGGGTATTTTCTGGGGGGTGGGGGTCAAGGCCACCGGAGGGGCTTATTTTATGGGCCTCAACACGGTCGGCCTCCTCCATCCCCTCTCGCATCTAGACATTGAGGGTTCAGGGTTGTCGAACGGGGGGTGCCCTGGCACCGTCTATCTCCCCGAGGGGGGGTGGACTGTGCCAGACACCCCCTCTTGGTAATCCCAGTTTTAATTACATCTGAGACCAACACACAACAACACCACATTTGAGCAGGCGCAGGGAGGATCGGGGTCTTCTCACACCCCTGTTCTCCGGCTGCCGCCCGGAGTTTGGGGAAGAGTGAGCCACCTGGTCCGTGGTTTTGGCTGGGGCCAGCTGCAGGGCCTAGGTGGCCTGCCGGTGGCGGGGCTGTCGCCTCTGCTCTCCTCAAAGAAGGTTGGAAGGACAGGCATGAAGTGCCTGCTTGAAGTAGGTTTTATTTTATTTTTATCTTTTTTGGGGGGGGCGGTTCTGGTTGTGTGGCCTGCGCGGGATGGGTGGACCCTGGTCCCGATGGGGGCTCTTGGGGAGGGTTGTTAAGTCCGTGTGCGGGGTGGGGGGCCGGGCTCCAAGCAGGAATGAGATGGGTTGGTGTGGCGGTGTCGCCGCTCCCCTCCCCCCATCCGGATTTTAGGTTCACTTATTGGGTCATCCGATAGTCCCGGGACCAACCACCGGTGCCGCCGGGTCTTTGGTCCTGGTATTATTGGATGTGAGTGTTATGTGTGAATGTGTGTCCGCGTTTTTATTTATTGTATTTATAAAATTATTATTATATTTTTTTTCATTAATGATTTATTTATTCATTTTTGTTTTTCTGTGGTGCGAGTGGGGGCACTAGGGAGGGAAGGCATGATTGAGATTGTGAGTGTTTTTTTTTGTTTTTGTTTTTCTCTCTCCCAGGTTGGGGTCTCAACTGCACTCTCTCCCAAATACATGTCAAGTCTCGGCTAAGTGCGGAGTCCATTCCCCCCGTCCTGCTCTCCCTCTGCTGGCTGGCGTCAGGGCTCGTCAGTGCATTGGTGGGGCTCGGGGTCTGGGGGTGGATGCCCAGGTGGCTGCTGGCTCATTCCTGGTGGCCTCTCCGCTGGCCCCGGCCGGCCGGGGCCTTGCTGGGGCTCCTGTCTGGGGATCGGATGCCCCTGGGGCCTCGGATCCCTGGGGCCCGGGACTGAATTCACTTCGGGGTGGGGCTGGGTGTTGTTTAGGGATTCTCGGTGCCGGTGCCTTCACTTCGATGGTTCCTGGGTGATGCTTTTTCCGATACCGGTCTTGTGGCATCGGTTCGAGGGGAGGGGAGCTGCACGGCATGGTGAGGTGCAGGTCTTGGGTTTTGTTTGGCTCTGGTTTTTCCGCTTGCATTTCTCCTCTTGCATAGGGGAATTTTTATTTATTTTATTTTTATTTATTTATTTATTTATT